ATAATGCTGAGGTGAATGTGAGCTTCTGGTGAGACAAAGCTGCAACTGTCCAGCTGTTTTGCCCCTTTCTGGGACTGGTGGAGCATCCGGAGGTCAGGATTACAATGAATTTTAGTATTTTGATGGGGATTTGAAACTATCAATTTAAAAGATGTTGCTTTGAAGTTGTTTTTTTTCCTAAGTTTTGAACTTGATTTATATAAGCATTTATTTCTTAATGATATTTCAATTATAACCTAATTGATAGAATTAATATTCTTTAGGGGCTAAGACTACTTGAGAAAAAACTGTTAAACAGATTTTTTAAAACATTCCTGGGCTTACATAATTACTCTTAAATTCTTACCAGTCTCTCGGGTAACCTATGTGTGAGTATCCCATGGTAGTGCAAAGATTTTGTCAGAGCTATGATCTGGTGAGCCTTTGGTCTCAAAAATAAGATTACTTGCCTACTTATTTTTCTAAAAGATTTTATTTATTTATCCGAGAGAGAGATCACAAGCAGGGGGGAGGGGTAGAGGAAGAAGCAGGCTCTCTGCTGAGCAGGGAGCCCGATGAGGGACTCAATCCCAGGATCCTGGGATCATGACCTGAGCTGAAGGAAGATGCTTAACCGACTGAGCCACCCAGGCGCTGCTCCTTAATTTTTTTTTGATAAAACGAGATTCTTAAAACATCTCATTTAGGCTAGTAAAAAGCAATGCCATGTTTGTAATCCAGCTAACAGGTGGAAGCACCTGAGTTAAATGAACTTAACCTGAAGCACCCTCCAGAAGAGGCACTTGAGATTTCACCCGTGCACAGCCCTTCCCGTTATAGAGTAAAATGGCTTTCGGTTTTAATGACACCCCATTCTTAAGGAAATAACATTAGATGAGGCATTCAGCCGTTAACAGTGGTGCCATCCATCAGTAAATGCTTGTTCAGGGCACAGGGCTTACTCCGCATCAGGCACTAGGGCCAGAAGGGCATTCAGGCCCTTTTCCACAACGCTACAATCTGGTGGCGAAAACAGATTTTTTTAGTCAACAAAAGAAGTTCAAATTGTGATCATTGCTAGAAAGAGAAAAATGCAAAGGTCTGAAGGGGGGCACCACCTACTTTAGGGCCTAAGGGAAGGAGTCAATGAGCAGGGGACGTTTAAGCTAAGACCAGAGGATATTGAGTCACATCTGTCAGAACAGGAGGGAAAAAGCTGGTGCAAAGATTCACCGTCCGTAAAGGAGCCTGATATGTTTAAGGGACTAAAAGACCCATACACTTGGGGTGCCTGGGCGGCTAAGTTGGTTAGGCATCTGCCTTCAGCTCAGCTCATGATCTCGGGGTCCTGGGATGGAGCCCCATGTTGGGCTCTGTGCTCAGCGGGGAGCCTGCCTCTCCCTCTGCCTCTGCTCCTCCTCCCCACTTGTGCTCTCGCTCTCTCAAATAAATAAAAAAAAAACTTTCAAAAAAAAAAAAGACCCATACACTTGAAGCATAATTATCCAAGATCACACAACTGATAAATTTGAAGAGGCAACTAGATCATTATAAGAACTCTGGAGGGCTTTTGGCAGAGGAGTAACATGATGTAATAAGTTATTTTGAAGAGGTCACTCTGGCTTCCAGGTGGAGCACAGACGAGGCAGGGGAGAGGAACTGCAGAAGTCGGTAGAGCCTCCAATCAGGGCTTAAGCAAGAGGGTGGCTTGGAGTCCCAGTGATGACAGTAGGAAGAGGAAGGTGCACATTCAGGGTGTCTTTTGAAGGTGGAGTAAACAGGCATGCTGGTGGGTGGGGTGGTGCAAGGGAGGGGGAGTGGAGGAGAGGAGGGAAGGAGGACTCTTCGACTTCCAGCTGGAATAACTGGGGAGATGATGTAATCCTATCAAAGATGGGAAAACTAGTAGAAAAACAGGTTTGGAGAAAGGCTTCAGCCCTTTAAGTGAATGCCTCATTCTCTTAGTCATTGGAATAACTTAGATCCCCATTTGGCATTTCTTTTTTTTTTTTTTAATTTATTTATTTGACAGAGCAAGAGAGCACAAGCTGGGGGAACAGTAGAGGGTGAGGGAGAAGCAGGCTCCCCGCCAAGCAGAGAGCCCGATGCGGGGCTCGAGCCCAGGACCCTGGGATCATAACCTAAGCTGAAGGCAGACGCTTAACCATCTGAGCCACCCAGGCGCCCCTTGGCATTTCTTTCTAGGGGCAGGTGTGTAGCAGTCAACTGCGGCCTGGCCTAACCTAGACCTAGATTTTTTTATAGAGAGGGTAGGCAGCAATAGGGTTCTAAGTGGGAGGTGGAGGTTTATCTTGATGTTGCATTTGATAAACATACAGTTTTTATACCCAGATTGTGTGTTTGCTTAGGGTGATTTGGTGGGCTAGGAAAGATCATGAGAGAGAGAGGGTAAAGACCCCCAAAGCTACCCCTTGGCATTGTCATTCACTAAGAAATTAGGGAAGAGACAGTACTGTTGAACTTAAATATTTTCTAAAAACAAAACCAAAACAAACAAAAAAGAACTTGATGTATATTTTCCATGTTATTTCATACATGGGTTAGCTTTCCAATAGTCTAGTTGGTTTATGAAGAAAATAATTAAAGCTGTACATGTGTAAGCCGAGAGCCAAAACCACTCTGAACAGCCCAAGGTTGCGAACTTACTTAATTTGCCCTTTCCCTGAGGAGTCATTTCTTGGCTCATTGATTTATTATTATTCTGTAAGATAGTGGTAGCCCCTGTCCTCTGCCTATAGCCAGAGTATGATCCCACTGTGAGGTCTGAGGAGTTTATGTTTATTGGATTTTAATGACTCCATTAATAAAGGTCATTCCTAAAAGTAATAGAAACCTAAGTGTGTGGAAACAGAATGGATAACACTGATTCTAGCGGTTCTTTGGTGTTTTCCTTGGGTATATGTCTAATCCTTAAAGCAATTAAGAAGGATCCTTCCTTTCAATCAATTCACTGATGCTATGTGCAGCTACAGTTGTAAAATGTTCTTTGAAACCCGTCACTAACAAAAGGTACCGTGTAAACACCAGGCTTAAAATGTGTTAGATAATATTGGCATCACAATATATCATTAATATAATAATGATAACAGTAGTTATATAGGTAATTATAATACTTTTTCATACCATATCTATAGTGCTCTCCAATATTTTTGACAGAATGAAATAACGTGAGTTTCAGGTAAAATCTGAATTTTGAAGGTTGGATATGAATTTTGAAGTTAAAAGGGACCTTAAAAATCACAGTGAATGATTTAGTAAATATTTACCAAAAATGGTGCTTATTAGACTGTGAAAGAATTTCCTGGGGCACCTGGCTGGCTTAGTCAGTAGACCATGAGACTCTTGATCTTGGGGTTGTGAGTTTGAGCCCCACATTGGATGTAGAGATTACTTAAAAATAAAATCTTAAAAAAAAAGGAATTTCCTAAGATAACTGGTGATTGTTTGGATTACCTGAAATTATATTGATAAAAGCATTTAAGAATATGTGGAGAGGAATAAATGTACAGTTGTCCCCTAGGCATGGATTAACAAAAATTTTCCACCTCAAAACCCAATGTGATGGGATATAAACAAATAATTCATACACATAATACTTTTTTTTTTTTTTTAAGAGAGGGAGTGGGGAGGGGAGGAGCAGAGGGAGAGAGAATCTTAAGCAGACTCCATGCCCAGTGTGGAGCCCCCTGTGGGGCTCAATCTCACAACCCTGAGATGATGAACTGAGCCAAAAATCGAGTTGGATGCTTAACTGACTGAGCCACGCTGATGCCCCATAATACATTTCCTACGTAGTTTTATAAAGCCTTCACGATCTGGCTGTTGTTGACTTTTCCAGACTTATCTTTTTTCTATCCCTCTCTACCCCCAAGTCTTCTTAGCTCCAACTTTACTAATCTTCCTACTCTGGGTCTCAAACCCACTGCTCTTCAGGTCTCAGGGCCTATGTGCCAGGGGTTTCCTCTGCCTGGAGCCCCTTTCCCTTATCTTTGCTGGGTCATTCTGCAGGCCTCCCATTACTTCCTCCCGGAAGCCTTCTGTCCATCTCCTCTCTCTCAATCTCAGACCTGAGGGAGGTGCAGGTTGTACTTGGGCAAGTCCCTGCAGGGTTTTCCTGGGATGGCCCAAACTAACACTATCCTATTCATTGTGCCACCCCCATCTCTACAGCAGTGTCTGGAACACAATATATACTATGAATGAGTGAGTGGATAAAGACAGTGAGCACTGAATTCGTTGAAATTTATACTTAACACATTTAAACAATAACAAATCTGAAGGAATAAAGTTGCTGTTTCTAAAAGGTACATGTCACTTCATTCCTCCATTAACAGAGAACATGCACAGCCCGGCATCAGTTTGACACAAAAGTTTTTAGTATTGTCGTATGTTCAGTTTCTTTCAACAAGTTAGATAAGACGTAAAATCCGGAGAGTTATACATGCAAATGGCAGGATAGTGTATAAATTCAATTCAAGAAACTGTAACTCTCAACTTATAAGTTTTTCATCAGCAAATGAGTTAAAAGAAAGTAAAAAAACCTTTAAAGCCTTCTTGCCCCAAACTAACGACCTTTTAAAATGCCAGCATTTTCCCCAGAGAATGGATTTGATCTGAGTACTTCCATTTCTCAGATTGTCCAAGAAAAGCCGACTTGGTTTTGAGAATCAAACTGCATACTTCTATAAAAGCTTAAGGTCTTCCAAATCTCCATAGAAAACACTGTTCTCACTTTAAGAAAAAAGGAGCAATAAGACCTTAGCATGGAAAAGGACAGGGTAATACAGCCCTAGAGAGGTTTGGGAGCCAGGGAACCCAGTGAAGTTAGAGCTCGTATTTGATCTCTTAACTCCAGACTGCCCACGTTTTGCCAAACAATGTGGGAAACAGGAAAATGATTTTTTTTTTTTTTTTGGAGAGTCCTAGCTCGTACAGCCTTTAGCAATCAATCAAATACGCTTGAACAAAGCTCAGTTTTTTTTCTCTCTTTTAAATCACAGACTATGGAGTGCGGGGTGGACGGGTTCGCTCTCATAAATGCAGCTCAACCGAACGCAAGACCCAGCCTCGTAGCTTGTTCAATTGCGGACGTTTTAGAAGCAGGACGGCGCTTTACAATGAATGAACCAAACTAAAATGACAACAGTGAGAGTGATAGTAATAATACACGGATTTGCTTGGGGTAATTTCAGGAAAGAACACAGCGGGGGCGCTGCCTCCTCCTGTCCACGCTCCCGCGCTCTCGCGTCCCTCCGGCTCCCAGCGGACTCCCTTGGTGCTCGTGACCCAACCGGACACACACAGCAGGTTTAGGCCCCTCTCCTCCCTCCAGGAGAGAAAAGAGCGAGGGGGAGTACCGTGTTTCCGTGTCGTAAGCGTTTAAAGCCTGCGACCGCGCGCGGGGCGCCCGCCCTCGTTCCCCGGAGGCCCCGGCCCGGCCCGCCCCGGCCCCCTTACTCTGGGGCTCCATGGTCAGCTGCTCCCGGGCCCCCAAGGGCCGAGCCCGCGGCGCCGCCGCCGCCCCGCCTAACGCCTCTCGTCCGCGGCAGGCGTCGCTCGGGTTGCCTTGACAACCCGGCGGGCGGGGAGGAGGGGCCAGAGGGACGGCGAGAGGGAGGGTCCAAAAGCCGCGAAGAAACGCGGGCCAGCGTGAGGCCCCGCGCGTCGCCGGGGACGCCGAGCGAGGGTGGCGGCCCGGTGGTCCGCTGAAGACTCTGCCCCTGAGGCCCGGTTGGGCGGTCGCGCCCTCCCCGGCAGCCTTCGAGCCCCCGGGCGGGGCCTGTGCCCGGGCCTTCGGGGCGGGGGACTGTGGCCACCCCCCCCCCCGCCGTCGCCATCCCGAGGCGTCCGTCGGTCCGTCAGTCCGTGCGTCCGGCGGGGAAGGGCGACCGGGGCCGGGCCGCCCTCCGCGGGCTCGGGAGCCGCCACTGCAGGTAAAGGCCGGCCGGGCGGCGGGAGGGGCGGGTGGGCCGCCGCGGCGCACCTGTTGCGGCCGCCCGGGCTCGGCGCGCCCCCGCCGCCTCGGGGGGGCCCCCCGCTGTCCGCGGGTTCGCCCCGAACCACCCCGCCCCGACTCCCGAAACGGCCGGGGCGGAGGCCGCCTGCCCGCCACTACCTCCCGGAGCCCGCGTGTCAGCGGCAGGAGCGACCCTTTGCGCCCCAGCCCTCCCAGCAGGACGATCCCTCGGCAGCCGGGGCGTCGGCCGGGCCCGGGGAGGGTGGTCGCTCCTGCCGCATTTATGGGAAGCATAAAACAAATAGGAGCCTCTTCTGTCGCCGGCGGCAGGGGGCCAAATGTGCCTGCTGAATCCTGGAAGCCGGGAGAATTCCGTTGCCCCACATTGCACTGTCATCCCGAGTATCACATTTCAGGCAGAGGGCCTGGGTTGGATCTTTCCGGTTGGATTGGGGGGTTGTTTTGTGTGTTTGTTTTGTTTATTTCCATCCTCCGCGTTTTCGGTGGAGCTGTGGAGTCAGCCCACATATTTTGTAGCAAAACTTTGTGGGGCTTTTAAACGAATGTAACATTATCCCACACGACAGTATCATCATAACTGGCTTTTGAAATACAGGTGCGGGTTGTGCTTTAAGGAAGCTTTGAGGATCACAGGAGGTTGTGCCTGGTAGGTTGTAAAAAGGCAGACCGCCGGAAGAGAGTCCTAGATGAACAAAAACGAGCCTTAAGGAGGAAAGAAAAATGGAGGAGCGAGAAGGAAAGAGCAGGCGGGTGGAAACTGCATGATTGATTGAGCACTCGTGTCTGCAGATTGTGGCCCCTCTATCTGTTCCTCCCGCTGCTCTAGACAGCACTTGGGGGAAATGAAGAGAAGAGCCCTTTTTGGGTCACGTAAGCGATTACTCCTACGTTGCCACTAGAGAGATTTCCACTCCGTAGATGACAAGGACACTGAGGAAAATTACTTTCCTCTTAGAGAATCGTTCAGAGGTTAATTGAACTCGAGAAGCATACATTCTCTGATGGAAACGGACATTTATTATGTTCCAGCAAACTGGGCTTCCCCTCTCAGACTGTCTAGAGCCGAATTTCAGATTAGTTGTCAAAGCAAGAAGGTTTATGTGTGGCTATTGACAGGCACTGTGATATATCCTGAACCCGTAATTCATAAGCTAAAATGTTGAAGTAATAAATTCAGGTTGGGGACTAAACACTTCGTGGCACCTTAATTACCTGTTCCTGAAACTTAGAGACGGGGGATGCATTTTTAGACAAACAGCATCTAAGATCAACAGCACTTCTATAGAACAGTGTTTTCCAACTCGAGTTTTCGTATCATTAGCAAGATCGTGAATTGGTCTTTTCATCCAAGAAACGTAGTGGTGCTCATTAGTAATACCATAAAGTGACAAGTTAGTGATAAAAACCTGGTCTTTATTAACACATAAAAGAGGTAGGGTTTTATTTTCTCAAACAGTAAAGGATTCAGTATTTGTATTTAAAAAGAACAACAAAACATTGTCGATCTCCACACTGAAATAACAAGGACTCGAGAATTTGGTTGTTGCATGCATATTTGAAAGTTGGAAAAGTGGAGGTAGATGTTGGTACTTTAAACTTAGCAGTGTAGAAGAATGATTTTATCAGTAGCCATGAACTTGACATTGAGGAAGTCTTGCATTGAAATATTTCAGGTAATAGGTAACTGGGGACTGTGAAAAGCAACATTTGATTTTCGGGGATAGCGAGTTTATGGAAGAAATGACTGAGGGGTGGAAGTGGGGAAGGGAAAGGTACTAAAATGTTTAAGGACAACATTCAGTTTCTCTTTCTCCCTCCAGCAGCTGGTACAGTGTACTTGCACTTGTCTGTTGAGTGAGAAGAGCGTTAGAGAAAGTGCTTTAGATAAAGGGATATGCTTTCTTTTTTTTTTTTTTTTAAGATTTTGTTTATTTTTGAGAGAGAGTGAGAAACAGCATGAGAGCGGAGAGGGTCAGAGGGAGAAGCAGGCTCCCCCCTGAGCTGGGAGCCCGATGTGGGACTCGATCCCAGGACTCTGGGATCATGACCTGAGCTGAATGAAGGCAGTCGCTTAACCAGCTGAGCCACCCAGGCCCCCCAGAGGGATAAGCTTTCTTATTGGAGGAGCTATCCTGAGGTCAGAAAGTTGCTAATGGCATAGGGGTTGAGATGAATGGCAAACGTATTGGTTGCTTCTTTGGGGGATTTCCTACCATGTGTGTGTTTTTTTTCTTTTCATTGGCATGTTCAGGATGTCACTGATGGTCAGGTAAAAAACAAAGTCCTGATGATTTTTTAAAAAATCTCCAAGCTCATCAAATTAGATAGAATAATTACATTATTTACTTTGCTGGTGCTTAATGAAAGTAGCAAACCAAAGCACTATCACCAGGGAATAAGGTAGCAATGGAGGGACCGACATAGCCTTTCTTTTTCTTACTTAAATCTCTTAGCCACATCAGAATTCAAAGTAAAAATAATTGTGGTAGAAAGTTAACATTATTTAATGTAAGTAGGATGATTTAAAAAAAAAAAGAAAAAGAAAGAAAAGCAAATGACTGTGTTGTTTCCTAGCCTTACTATCCTACTGATAGGGTGTTTATGGAAGTCAGGGGAAGTTTTTGTTTTTGTTTCCTGGATTTTTGTTTACTTTTTGTTTTGCCAGAGTGAGGGTACTTTTTTCTCTTTTTCTCCACTACTTTCTGAAACTTATAAGGAGTTGAGTCAAGGTAGAAAACGAGTTTCCATTTTTGCCTCGTTTCCTCTTTGTCCTCCAGATTTGTAATGGTCTGCGCTCGAAATTGTTGGACTCCAGGAATGTTCTTTCAGCGTTTTACTCATTCTTAGTATAATTGGGCTGCAGGACCGTGCTGCTGCCCCCGCATCTGGAAAGTCTTCCAGGATTAGATTAATGCCCACAAAATAAATGCGCCTCTCTCTCCTACTGGGGACACTACCCAGTTTGGCACCTAGCCCTGTACTCTACTTTCTTGTAGAGTTTTCTCCCACTTTATGTGCATGGGTCTGTGCCTCTGATTAGATTAAATATTTTTTTTTAAGATTTTATTTATTTATTTATTTGAGACAGAGAGAATGAGAGAGAGAGAGAGTACATGAGAGGGGGGAGGGTCAGAGGGAGAAGCAGGCTCCCTTACTGAGCAGGGAGCCCGATGTGGGACTCGATCCCGGGACTCCAGGATCATGACCTGAGCCGAAGGCAGTCGCTTAACCGACTGAGCCACCCAGGCGCCCTAGATTAAATATTTTAGGAACTAAGTCCAGTACTCCTTTTAGCTCTTAGTGGGTTTTCAGTGTATACCTGATAATTTAAATAGGATAATAATAGAGGACAGGCTTTTAGTCAAGGATGATTGCATTAATTTCTAGCTATGCCACTTTGGAAAGCCAGGAGCTATTCCTTATTGGTAACTGGGAATGACAAGATCTGCAATGATTGTCTAACAGTCGAGTTGTGAAAATCAAAATCAATGAAATGTGATTATAGATAGGAGTGAAAATATCTTGTATATTGTAAAGTAAATGTAGGTGGTTGTTATTGCAGGCATACAGCAAACACATATTGAGCATCCATAATGTGTCAGGTACTTCTTGGAGGTTGGTCTTCATAAGGGAATAGGAAATGACCAGATGGATTGTGTGTGAGGGCTTCCTGGGCAAAGGCACAGAGGCACGAGAGAACAGCTCTTAAGAAGGAGTCCATTGTGGCTGGAGCAGAGGGAACTTAATAGAAGAGCATAGAAGGAAGTGAAGCTGGGAGGCAGATATGCATTAAATCAGAAAGAACCAAAGGAGTGAGATTTGTATCTTGAAGGTAATGAGAAGGATTTGGGTCAGTGACGTGATCGGTTCTCCATTTGAAAGGGGTCGCTGGCAGCGTGTGAATGACGGATTGGTGGAGAGCCAAAACTTGAGGCAGAAAAACCAAGCTGGAGATTTTGTAGTAATTCCATGAAGAAATGATAAAATAAGTGTGGTGGTTGGGAGGGTGGGGAACAGGGAGGAGGGGCCTCTGAGAGGGTCCAAGTGGCAGGTCTTGGTGTTGTAGGGGGTGAAGAAGAGGGAAAAGCCAAGGATGACCACCCAGGTGATGGGGGAATTGTTCTGTTAGTTATCGAAATCCAGAACACAAGAGAAGGAAAGAAGTCTTTTTCTTTTTAGGGAGTGTGAGAAATGCATCCATGATGAGTTCAGTTCATTTGAAATGCCTGTTGTCTAAATTGAGATTTCCCTTAAGTAGGAGTCAGACATGTGGGTCAGGAACTAAAGAAAGAAGCCTGAGTCTTTCAGAAATTGAAGTTAAAATATGAATAGTTTTCTCCAGGGAGATTATGTGGAATGAGAAGAGAGTCAAGGCTAGGACCATGGGGTGCACAGCTATTTGACATGAGGAGGTGGGTGTGGTGGAAGAACCCAAGGCGACTGAGGAGGAGTGGCTGAAAAGGTCAGCTCAAAATCTGGAAAGATTAATGAAGCAGAAGCCCTGCTCTGGAGGGCCTTGTGCCCTTGTGCATTGGCATTCTCTGAAATTGTATTTTCTTCCACTTGCCATAGAATGCACAACATACTTTATCAATCTGTTACTGTTTTATTAAAGTTACTGCAAAATGACTACCCATGACTTTCTTAACAAGAAAGAAAATTTCCTGATATTTGTGGTTTTTCACCATCTCCATTTGGAACAATAATTCAAGTAAAATGTAGCTTCGGGAGTTATGATGATGCCTCATACAAATGCTGTCTTTACAAAAAGGTGGGCGAAAGTTCACTTTATAAATGTGGGAGGTAAAATAACTATTATCTTCCTAGGAAGACTGACAATAACCTTTTCTTTGAATTTCAGCTTTTGCTGGATCTCAACAATTTGCCAAGGTAATATTTTAGCAAACTTTTTTAACTTTGCTCTTACTCAAATACTAGTTTTTAGAATATTCTTCAGTAAAACAGAACAAGACAATATTGAAAAGCACTGAATGGCCCAGTCATTTGAAAGTCTAATAAAACCCTTGATTTACAAATGGGTATGTGAGGAGTGATAGGTTATTATGATACATAAGTATTGGTTGAGCTTGGGAGATCTTCCTGTATATAAGTCTACAGAAATTTAAATTACCAGTGGAATGTAGGATTCTTAAATTAATTGTGCAAGATTGGTTATTCCAGATGTATTTGGTATGAACCGATACTGAGTTAAAGGTGAATCATTTTTTAAATTTGAGTGTTTTTAAAAAGCCAACTTTTGCTTTACTTATATAATTTGCTTACTTAAAATCAAAAGTCCACTTGTTAAAAGGCTGGAGATAAGATTTTTTTAAAATAAATTCTGAACTTTTTTCTTGTTCAAGAAAGATTTTAAGTAGATACTAGAAACCAAATAGGTTGTGCTTTGGGGAGCTCTGAGCCAATTAAAAGCAAACTACGGGGTAACCTTCTAAAAGTCCTAGTAATGATAAGCCTATTGTTTCAGTTAGAGTATCACAGGCCTGGGAGATAAAGTTTACCTATTAAATATTTGGCTGTAAGGCCATGTGGGTGATTACAGCCATGTTTTTCAGAAATTCTCAAATGTCTTTCTTTTCATAAGAGAGCTACACTTGTTCTGCTTTATGGTATTTCTTCCAGACCACCCCTGCCTGACATGTCCCATAGCATCAAGTATTCCTTCAACCCACGGTGTTTCATCATGAGCCCGTGTTCTTTGATGCAGCCAGGAAGAGGTATGGTACAGTGTAGTTAGGCATACACTGTACACTTAACTGGGGTTAAGCTGAGATCAGGCTGCTTGACTTCAAGCACCAGCTCTCCCACAGATGAGCTATTAGAAGCTGGGTAAATTAACTAAACCTCCGAAGGCTTAAATTTCCTCATTTGAAAAAGGGAAATAAAGTAAACCCTCACGGGGTCTTTAAGAGTTTAAATGAAATAATCCATACAAAGTGTTTAAGTACGTAGAGCATCTGGCACCCAATAAGCACACTCTATAAAGACTAATTGGTGGAATTATCATCATTACCATTATTGTTATCAGTTCAACTTTAGTAGCAGTAGAGAGCTATGCTTCTCGAAGTGTGATCTGCATACCAGTTCCAGTCCACAGACTGTTACTGGTTGGCAGTGCGATAAGGAGCTTGTGCCAGAATGTGGACTGTGGCACTAATCATACTGTTGCATTGAGCTGACATTTTTAATAGCAAGACTTCTTCAATGAAGGAAGCAATGAGTTGATTTACATTCAGTGCAAGCTCTTTATGTTGCCACAAATAAGCATTTTGAATGGAATTGGCATGGAATGTTGGATCGGTGATCCTGTTCTCTAAAAAATAATAGCCCTTTATCCTGAAGACAGTTATTATTCACTTGTAATGCCTCATTAACCTTCTCTGTTCTAAACATTATAATTATGGGTTACAGGGATATTGTTTATTAGTTGAGCAAATATTTATTGATCACATGGTCTGTGCAGAACCCTATATCTTATTTTGTAGAAGTTGTAAAGATGGCTCAGAAATGGATCTTGACTTCATGACGTCTGTGGTGAACCTAGAGCAAGAGGACAAAGTGAAAATCTGAACAAATGTGTTGCGTACGTGTAGCGAGTGTTTGCATTAGTCCTATAGTGTGGTTCCAAAGGCTACACGTAGACAGATGTCTCCTTTTGCTAAGCTGTTCCCATAAATGGCCAGAATTAATACTTTTTATTTTTCAGGACAGTACACTATCATAATAGAGATCAGAGTTCACTTTATGGAGGGTAGTGTTTCTCCTAGGAGATTGAAAAATCTGCAACACTAGGGAATAACTGAGTTTGGGGACACAAATGACAAAACTACAACTTTTTAAGATTAGTATTTACAGAAGACTCATCCTTAGGTTTTGGTTTTTTTTTTTAGATTACTGATTCTGTTTGAACCTGTATATAAATATTTAATAATAAATAATTTGCTGTGCAGAATATGAGGAGACCTTAAATAGATACCAAAATAGTTATAAAGTTTCAATACAAATTAGCACTTATTCTTCAAGAAAAAATTCATTGGCCAAATAGTGTGTCAACACAGATTTGGGAGTCCTATAAAAAGAATAATTTTTTTAAAAGGCAAGATATGTGTGTGCATGTTTCCTTTTCCCCCAGAACCCTTTCCCTAAAGAGTGGAGATGAAAAGGGATTGGCTGTGAATTGGATCATAGAACAGACTATTTTTATAGACCTATCAGAAAATGATTTAAAATGCTCAAGAAATGTTATTTAGTTTTTATAAATCTTAAGAATTTTTGTACATGAAAATGATCTTTTGCCGGGCTTGCTAAGCCAGCTCATAACCCCACTATGTGCTTCATCCTGCCATTTGCCTTAAAATGTTACCAGCTCTCCTAGAACTTGTTTCACTAATGACTTTAAGAACATTCTAATTCTTAGTATTAAAGAGTACTACAACATATCAAATCTAAGAGGAGAATTGTAAAAAGAAGCAAAAGAGTAAAAAATAAGAATTTTGATCAAGAAATGACTGGGCAAGTTAGACCCATGGCACTTAAAATAAAACACAGTCTCTTTAGCATACCTTTGGTGATCTGGCCCTGTCTGCTCTGTGAGCTCATCTGTACCAGAACCTTTCTCTCTCCTTTTATGTACCAGCCACACATCACATCTTCCTTCTTCTAGTTTCTTGACCATGAGAGTAAGACCGCATGTCGCAGACGATCTCCATCCCCACCCCTGCTCTGCCTCGGTGAATAGTAAGCTCCGTGAGGACAGGACCCAGACCTGGCTGTTCTCTCTGTGACACAGGCCTGTTCGCAAGGTGGACACTTAGTGGGCGCTCAGGTCCTGGCTGAGTGAGTAAACAGAAGACCAGAAGTGTAGGCATGGAAGATGAGAAAACCTGAGTATAGAGAAAACCTATTAGATCATGAATAATATCTATCATAAAACAGACAGATGTTAGTCTTAAAAGTGGAAAATCCCTAAAGAACAGAAAGTGATTCAGTCATTAGCTCCTCAGCCTCTAATTGCTAATTAAGTACCCACGATATTTGGGCTCAGTCTGTGGCAATTACCAAGAGGGTATTGCTCCAATAACAGTCTAAGCAGAGAGACCAAAAACACAGGGAAAGGATAATAAGGTAGTACAGATAATTGGGCAGTTGCCTGGTATGTAAGGACGTTGCTTTGTCCATATCGGTTATGGAAGGTCGGAGGCCTGGGGCAAGCGTGGCCTGCGCCTCCGACAGATCTCAGTGCGGCTCTGGTGGTTTCTGCACCATGACTCTTCTGAAAGAAGAAAACAGCTTTAATGTTGAGAAAAGCGTGAACTGTGGTTTGGGTGTCTGATTGAAGGACAAACCAAGAACCTATACAAATATTTCAGTTTTGGAATCTGGGATTTCCCCAGAAGTTAAGGCCAGAGCCTTTAGGAATAGCAGGAGTCTGTCCTATCGTTAATGAAAGGGGACACAAAGTCACAGAAGTCCTGAAGCATAGTGACAGCAGGCCATCACCAGCATCTCGGCATGAAGTGAAGGACTAGGGAAAGGGGAGGAACTGAATCCTGAGGAGTTTGAAAGGACATTGTCACTGACGCAGTGTTAGGCAAACTTGCAGAAGTTGAGTAAAAATATCTCTGAAGTGCCAACATCATTCACTCAACAAGTATTTATTAAAGGCTTAGTATGTGCCAGGCTCTGTTGTGGACAGCAGTGAGCAAAAGAGACACAAATCCCTGCCTCGTGGTGTTCCCCTTCTGGTGGAGGGCACCAACCAGAAGCAAGATCAAGAGGTAAAATATATACTTTGTTGGCCTGTGGTGAGCGTCAAGGGGAAAGACCAAAGCAGGAAAAGAGTAGGAAGTGGGTCTGGGTTGTGGGGCATGTGGGTCAAAGTGTAGACAGGGTGGCCAGTAAGCCCTCACCATGCTGACATTTAATAAAAACCGTTAACGAGGAAAGGGAGCTAGCCGTTGGGATGCCCGAGGCAAGGACATTTCAGACAGAGGAGCAGGCTCAAAGTCCCGAGGCCAGCCTGTGCCGGGGTGTCTGGAACGTCCAGGGGGCCACGTGGCTAGAAGCGTGAGGAGCGAGGGAGTGGCTGGCAATGAGGCCAGAGCCGTTGCCCAGTCCAGAGCCTCCAAGCTTGTTGATCCTGTTAAGTGTTTGGGGTTTTCCTTGGAGTAAGATGAGGTGGGAAGCCAGTAGAGACTTGTGAGCAGAGGAAACATGAGCTGACTTTAACAGGGTCACTGCAACTGGGTTGCGAAGGGCTAAGAGTGAAATCAAGCCAGTCAGGAGGCTGCCACAGTGATCCCGAGGAACAGCTGCTCCCAGTGGTGCTCCACGTATTTTGAAAGTAGAACTGACATGATCAGGTTGTTTTCTGTTGCTCCTGTAACAAATCACTGCAAAGCGAGTGGTTATTTATTCTCTTACAGTTTTGTAGGGTAGAAGTCCATCAAGGTTCTCACTGGGTTAAGATCAAGGGGTTGGCAGGGCTGTGTTCCTTTCTGGAGACTCTAGGAGAGAACCCATTTCCTTGTCTTTTCAGCTTTTAGGGGCCACCCACATCATTCCTTGGCTCATGGCCCTCCCTCCATCTTCAAAGCCAACAACACTGCAGCCCTCTAACTATAATTGGGAAAGGTTGTCTGATTTCAGGGCTCTCGAGATTAGATTGGACTCACCAGGATAGTCTCCCTAGCTGGAGGGCTTTAACTTGGTGACGTCCTCAGTCCCTTTTGGCCTTCAGAGTACTCATTCCCAGGTTCCGGGGATGAGGAGGACATGCACATCTCTGTAGGCTGTGATTCTGCCTAGTACATCCATTGAAGGATCAGATGTGGAATTTGAGATCAAGAAAAATCAAGAATAATTTCAGATTTTTTGGTCTGAGCAATTGAAAGGAAGGAAGTCATTGACTTGGGAGGACCAGGTTTGTGGCTTTGGGGTAAATATCGGGAGCTCAGTTTAGGGCATTCTGAGTTTGAAATGCCTGTTATATATCCAAGTTGGACGTGATGAGTCGGTAGTAGAACACATGAGACTGAAGTTCAGGGCGAGGATTGACAGCACATGCAAGTGAGAGTCCTCATATGGGAGGCATCAAAGCTGTGAGACTGCAGGAGACCACACAGGCCCCGTCTGATTTCCACAAAGTCCTCACGTTGTACATTTGAGAACTTGATAGGTGTGAAGAATGTATTGTTGGTAAATTGAACATGGAGAAAAATGCAGAAGAGGAATATCAAACAGCGAAACCTAATCCAGAGTTTCTCAGGACAGATTTCACAATCTTGTTTTACTTAATCCCTTGCAAACTTTACCTTTTCTGTGAACTGTGTTTCTAGAATTAACTGCACCAGAACCAAGGATCGCAGTGACTAAGACATAGCTCATCTTACATCAACTTCTGATTCTTTCTTGTTGAGGTAGTTTCATGTTACATTAGATCTATATTATTTTTCATAAATGCTCATTTAAAAGTTGTAATAGACTCACTTCAAAGGGCAGTCCTTGACAAATTATGCAGTCTACAATTTATATGGAAGAAAGCTTTGAGAAGGAGCAAATACCAACCTTTCAGGTTCTTGTAGTGGAATGTAGCTGATACTGCTAACAGAACAATTCTTATTAAATTTTATTTCGAGTGGCATGTCACCTACCATATTTGTTTTCCCTTACTGGTACTACTAAATTTGCCAAAGGCCAAAACATGGATCTCTTGTATGTATTTAATTACCTCTAAGAAAATACTGACATGGGTCACACCAGTAGCAGAATAAATGTGGAGAGCTGTTGTCTATCGTGAAAACTCCACCACTGCCCCCTCTAAATCTGGGACTCAAACCATCGAACAACAGAAAGTCCCTCTGAGTCATGAAAATAGATCATCACGAACTTCATAGCGCTGCCCCTCAGACTCACTGGATTCAATATAGAGCCCTTTGAGGCCTCAACCTTTACAAGTATTTCTGTCCAACAAGCCTAACTGGTTTCTAACATGCTGGGTAGGAGAGCAGGTCAGAAAATCAGAGGAGGGCTCCACTAGGTAAGCACACGGACCACAGTGTGACGTGGGTATAGAATCCCTGAGGAAAAGCGGGGCTCCAGACCAGTCTGGCCTTTGATCCCTGGACACTTCAAGGGAGTCTGAGGACATCATTCTGTTTAGGAACTGATGTAATGGTGACCCTGAGTCACGAAGAGAAAATTAGATCATTTTAGTAGGCAGAGAGGTCTGGTTATCTGTTGCTGCCAAGACCAACACCCTGGAACGTAGTAGCTTCCAGAAGCGGTGACCGTGTGTTCCCTCTCACGGTTCTTTGGGTTGACTGGGTGGCTGTGGGTGCTGCTTTTGCTGGGTGTTGTGTTGGCTGGGCCGTGGTCATCTGGAGACTTGACCTGGCTAGAACCATCTTCTGTGGCTTAACCCACGTGGCATGTCTGTGCTTTCTGCCAGAGGAAGCCCAGTTTTGGTCTCTGCCCAGTAGCCTCGCCCTGTGGCCTGGGTGTCTCACAGAACGACAGCTGGCTCCAAGAGGGAGTGTTTCAGGCATGTGAATGCCTTGGAAGTGGTTCAGCATCACTTCACTGTATTCTTTGGATTGTAGTGATTCGCAGGGCCAGCCCAGACGAAGGGGAGAGGAAGTAGACTCCACCTCTCCAGGGGAGCAGTGACAGAGCATGTGTGGCCATCTTTAATCCAGCCTAACAGAGAAGTGGGTGATGGAGCCGTACAGTGTACGTGTGTGTGGTGAAGGGGCCAGGTGACGCTTCCATCTCTAGAAAGATGACTGTTCAGAAAACTCGGCTCTTTCCTGATGGTTCAAAGTGGTCTATACTTTATAAATAAGATTTTACTTTAATTACAAGATTATTGCACCTTTAGGGAGTATGATAAAACTAAGAAAAACATTTCAAGGGTGTTTATTTGGTAAAAATAATAGCTGTGTTTTTTTAGGTAAAACAGTTCAGAAATGGTACCTATGGCAATCATTGATCATAATAACAGCAATTTACCTGTAGAATGAGAACCTCTAGAAGGGATTCTAATCAGAATAAAGGAAAAATTGAATATAAAACCAAATGTTAACTTCTCTTAAGCAGTGGAATTTTCTGATTCTTAGATAACTTCTTAAAGTCATCTTGTCCTGTGATCTCAAGCCAGCGTGTTTCTTGGAGCTGTTCTGTGGATCTGGTCTCACCCATGGGAGCAGCAAAGAGCTGTGATGTTAATCCATACTACATTTGTGTTATTACACCATTCTAATTTTGAAACAACTTTCAGAATGACTTTTGAAGAACCCTACCTTTGAGGAGCTTAAACATCCTTTCTCCCATCCCTCTGGTTATTCATTTCTCCCTCTTTTGGCCTATTTGTGTGTGAGTTTGTAAAGTCTTGGTCCTGACCTCAAAGTATCCTTACATGTGTTATTAACTGAAGCCCTGAGGAGGCACTCAACAAGTGTTTCTTGAGCGTGTGAGTGTTTCCCTGGGGCCTGGCTTGAACAGTGAAGAAGCCTTTTTTTTTTTTTTATTACCTAGGATAAGGAGCTAGCCCTGTGAGCCAACTAACCATCTAAAGCGATAGTTAAATAAATGAGGTGCTGTAAAAAGAGTAATTTGACAATATCATGAGTTACAGATTATGCTTTGTTCTTTTTTACTTGAGTTTCTCTGTATTTTTAGTTTTCACCTGGTTAATGTGAAAGGGGCTTATTCCCAGCAATATTGATTGGATTTTAAAAAATCAGGATTGAAAGATCACTTACCTGACTTGTAGGGAATAAGTTACTGGTGTAAATTTGCCCTTGCTTGGGTAGTTTCTCTTCATTTAAAATAAATATTTTCCGGGCGCCTGCGTAGCTCAGTCAGTTAAGCATCTGCCTTCAACTCAGGTCATGATCTTGGGGTCCTGGGATCGAGCCTCATGTTGGGCTCCCTGCTCAGCGCGGACTGTGCTTCTCCCTCTCCTCTGCCCCCTCCCCCCAACTTGCTCTCTCTCTCTCTCTCTCAAATAAATAGATAAATGAAATCTTTAAAAATAAATAAATGTTTTCTTCTGTTGTCGCTTGAATTAGATATTTTGGGATCAAGACCCTGGAATCTCAAGAAATATGCTTGAGGCTTCTGGTTTGATTAAACAAACAAAAGACCTTATTAATAAAAGCTAGCTATAGCCTCCAAAGGGAAAAAAAAAATAAATCCACTTCCCTCACCTGTCATTGTAGACTGGCATAAGCAAATCTAAATGAAGTTTTTAAAAACATTCTCCTTTAAGCTAGAGGGTTTCTTAATTAAAACAAAATAGACTGTCCTGTAACCAGGTTAGGGGAAGACTCACTGGCCTTCAACAGTTTTCCCCGTTACAGGATCCAGCATCTCTTTTGTCATGGGGTTAGAGACCATGTGATAGAGCTTCACAGCCACCACATCCCCGGCTCGCTGTCGAGAGCACCAGGTCCAGTGTGGAACTGTCCCCAAGCTGGCCAGGAGAAAATTGCAGCTGACCAAACTTGAAGAGCTAGCCTGAATTACTCCTAGTCTTTCGAAGAGGCAGCAGAAATGACAGGCAATAACCAGCTCGCAGAAAAAAGCCCGTTAACGCTTTTGTTTTGAAGGCCTGTGCTTTTTCTTTTGAGCGTCTCCTATGTGTACCTGATTTTCCTTCTTATGTTCGTGTGTTTGTAGGGTGGTGTGTGGCCAGTCATTTAACGTGCAGAAGAGTGCTTACGTGAGCCGGTACCAGAGGCAACACAGCAAAGAAGACCGGATGCAGATCTAAGGAATTAACTTGCTAAGACTTTGAGCTGAAGTCTTAGCGATTGAGGCGCTCAAGTTTGTATCCGTAGACTCTCAGCGCTGTTTGCAGTGGCTTTTTGTAGGAACAGCTTGACTGTAGGATGCCGGCTACTTAAGCTCACTCTTGGACAGGATGGAAGAGCAGGGACTGCGATGCCCAGGCTCTGCCTCTGAGAAACGCTACTTCCCCGAGTCCCTGGATTCCAGTGATGGGGATGAGGAGGGGGTTTTGGCTTGTGAGGATTTGGAACTTAACCCTTTTGATGGACTGCCATATTCGTCGCGTTATTACAAACTTCTAAAAGAGAGGGAAGATCTTCCAATATGGAAAGAGAAATACTCCTTTATGGAGAATCTGCTTCAGAATCAAATTGTGATCGTTTCAGGAGATGCCAGATGTGGCAAGAGCTCTCAGGTGAGTAGGCATTACGAAATACCATTTGCTTTATGTATTGTACTTTTTTATTACTTAAATAAGTGCAAAGTCAGTGTTCAGTTTTAATAGTGATATCTAAACCAAAAAAAAACAAAACAGAACAAAAAAGAGCATTAGCGATTCAGGCACAACAATTAAGTTACGTTCCTAGTTTTATTTCTTAAAGCCAGCTGAATAACAGTTAATTATACCTATGGGGATATTGTGTTTAGTGTGCCAGTAAATTTTCTCTAAAATGCTAGATAAAAATCCGTTCAAATTATTTCATGGCTTGTATTACATTTAAAGGATATGATAGGTGTTATTTGCCTGCCACAGGTTTGGGGATTAATTGTCATGTTCATGTGCCCAGCAGTCTGATGATCGGCGAGGTATTTGGTCATGCTTCAGGGTGAAGCTGGTTAAATCACAGAAATTCAACAGCAGAGAAAATTTTTATTTTCCAGACTGTAAGAAATAAGTGAGTGGTCAAATATCATACTGGCTCAAGGTCCTACATTTTGGAATCTAGTATGGAGGATAGAATTAGGGTAGTTAATGAAAACATAATGTCCAGGCTACTCTTATACCTGAACTTCTAGATTTGATTTTAGTAGTATCTTTATTTTGGTTTTTAAATTCTAAAGCAAGCAGTATTTTTATTACGAAATTCATGTATGGATTCTTGCAATGTAAGAATTAGAGTGGACCATAAAGATAATCTGACAGAACGCCTTCATTTTTCAGATGATGAAACTGGCCCAGAGGGATTTGATAATCTGTGTAATGTCACACAACTTCCTAAGCTGCAATTCCAAGAATACTTTCTACTGTACATTACCACGTTCAGGTTATTTGTTACCTCTGAGGCTTACTTGTTCTAACTTGAAGAGAGGAAGGATGGACAATAGGTGGTTTTTCTTAGAGCTGCCGGTGTGGAGCGTTTGCTCTGAATTGTTATTTGTTACAGTGAGTTGTTACAATGAATGCTTTTGCTTTGTCAGCAAGAAGCTACTGTTGAAAACTGGGTATAATATTCCTGGTTTCTGTGGACAAATGGCAAGTTAAAAATCATTTGAAGTTGTTATTTTGCAATAATTCAGACTTAGGAAAAGTTGCAAAAATAGGACAAAAGATTTTCCATACGTTGTTCACCCAGCTTTCCTAAGTGTTAATATTTTACATTTGCTTTATCATTCTCTCTCTTTCCATGCACACATGCACACACACAGACATGTACAGTTTTTATTCTGAACTCTTTAAAAGTTAATGATATGATGCCCTTTGCCTCCAAATACTTCAAGTAAGTATTTACTAAAAACAGGGCACAGCCATACTGTAATTTTCAAAGTCAGGAATGTAGAATTGACATTTCATGATTACCTAATGTACAGGTATTCAAATTTCATCACTTCCTACTAGTGTCCTTTATAATAAAGTATTTTTCTGGTCTAGAACCCAATCCAAATTACATTGCATGTAATTTCCATTTCTCTTTCGTCACCTCTCCTCTGAAACAGCTGCTCAGTTTTTCCTTGTCCTTCATGACCTTGACATTTCTGAGGAGTACCGCTAGGTGTTTTGTACAACATCCCTCAGTTTGAGCCTGTCTGACATTTCCTTAGGATTAGATTCTAGTTACGCATTTGCAGCAGGAAGATCACGCAAGTGCCCTGGTGTCCTCCTCGGTGCATCCTATCAGGAGGCATAATAAGATTTCTCCCCTGATGTTAATTAAATTTGATAACTTGGTAAGGTGGTGATTGTCTTGTTCTTCATCGTAAAGTCACTGTCTTCCCCCAGCATTTAAAAGCTGTGGGGAGGGGCGCCTGGGTGGCTCAGTCGGTTAAGCGTCTGCCTTCGGCTCAGGTCATGATCCCAGGGTCCTGGGATCGAGCCCCGCATCGGGCTCCCTGCTCAGCGGGGAGTCTGCTTCTCCCTCTCCCACTCCCCCTGCTTGTGTTCCTGCTCTCGCTATCTCTCTCTCTCTGTCAAATAAATAAAATCTTAAAAAAAAAAGCTGTGGGGAGATTCCTGTACCCACTGCCTAAGAAATAAGACACTGTTATTCTCAGAGGCTGTCTGTGTGGCCCTTCCCCGTACTTTATCCTCCTTCCTCCACAAACTAACTTGTATTAATCATTTCTTGCTTTTCTTTATAGCTTCACCGTGTTTTTTGGTTAAAAACGCTATTATTTTGGTTAGCCAGTTTTTCACTATTAAATGAACATATTGTGTTCTTCTGAGACCAGCTTGTCTTGCCCAGGTGTTACTGACATTCAGCCATAATAGTGATGCTCTAACTTGTCAATCAGACTCACCTGGAAGCCTTCCAGAACCGACTTGCCACTCCACCCCCCACCCTACCTCAGTTTCTAATCCAGTAGGTATGGGGAAGAGAGCTTGGGTGATTAACAAACCTGCAGGTGATGCTAATGCTGGTGGTCTTGAAACCATGCTTTGAGAACCACGGATGATTCTGATGCTTTATAGCTGGGCATCCTTTGTTTTTCCTTTTAATGACATCCCATTGTGAGAATATACCAGTTTATATATCCATTCTCCTGATGATGGGCACTTGGGTTGCTTCCAGTGTTTGGCTATTCCAGCAGTGTTGTGATGAGCATTTTTGGTTGTTTTTTGTTTGTTTGTTTTGTTTTTTAAAGTAGGCATAGAGCCCAATGCAAGGCTTGAACTCACAACCCTGAGATCAAGACCTGAGCTGAAGAGTCAGACACTTAACCGACTGAGCCACCTGGGTGCCCCCTGATGAGCATTTTTGTATAAATCTCTGTTAAATATTTTCAAGAGTTTTTACACATTGGAATAAAAAAAAATCAGTGTTTCACTTAAAAAAAAGTAAAATAAAAGATATGGGGAGATACTTAGAGACTATGTAAAGTATGCTTCTCGTCATGCGTTTGCCTGCTTGTTTTATTTAGCATCCTTAGATCATTCTTTGACGTTATTACACTGGTGGTAACCAAATTGGTGATTTTTCTAATTCTGACATTCCTTTTACATTTAATATTTGGAATTCTTCTGAAAAGCTAAACTTCCTCTTTGTTATTTATCTGTTCATTTATTTCAATGTGGGCTCATAATACTATCTTCTATGGATTATAACATTACTCAGCCCATTTATTTTGTTTCTCAAATTGTCCCTGATATGGCCTGTGGGAACCCCTTCAGGATGACTCCTGTGTCCTTCTGACATGCCCCCTGGTTCTTGAGCACTTCTTTGCTCTTTCCCAGTAAGACATTTCAGGCTCCACTAGTGTCTCTGTTCCAGTCTTAGAAATAGCCATTTTTCTCAAGGAGCCCTGCTTCCTTTTAGTGGAGAATTGTACTTAGAAACCAAGATGGGGACACTAAGTGGCATTGCCATCGGCTTGTTATTGCTTCCAGGCCCTGTCAGTTAACAGAGCAAGGAAGTAAATGTGGGTGGGTGATGTATGGCTACCCCCTCTCGCTACCTAACTCTGCTTCTCTGTCTCTAGCTCTTTCTGTTTCTCTTTCCCATGTATTTCTCTCTATATATATATTTATTTTTATTTCTCTCTGTGTGTGTTTTAAAAACCACAAATTCATGCTGTTGCCTCTGGTTCCATGTCCATACCACAAGGTTCATTGTTTTTGCATATTTCCCATGTGTAACTCTCTTCTCTAACTGTGGGAAACCTGCCACTTGTTATTCGCGACAGCTTTACTTGTTCAGTCTTAGAATACATGCTCATAATGTAGTTTCAGAATTGCTAGCCCACACTTTTGGCTAAAAAAAAAATTAAATATATACTCCTTGAGTTTTCTTTTAGAATTTGTGATCTTTAAAGACAAGGATTATCATACATTTGTAATATGTTAATACCTAGCAGTGGTTTCTCCTGTCATCTTTGACTTCTCAACCATTTTCACAAATAATGCTTGTTTTCTGTTAATTGGGAAGTCAGTGTGTATCTACAGGGTGGCAGAAATCAAAATAGTACTCAAATGATGGGAAAATGGGCCAATTCTAAACTAATTTAAATACTGGGAGCATTGGTGGTTTTCTCAATTCTGGAAACAACCTGGTTATTTTTTACAGAGAGCTTCCAAGACTATTTTGCTCTTCAGAGTTTTAAGCCTTTCAAACAAAAGTTTGTCATTAGACCCAAGCCTTCTAAAGAAGACCACAAATATTTTGCAGGATCCTAAAAATTTCATCTCTCTTTGGTCCAGCTGGAGTTTTGTGACTGCCCTAAGGAAAATAGGACAACCTTTCATATATTTCTAGAGCCTTTTCCTATTGCCTTTTTTGGGGGCAGCTTTATAAAAAAGCTTGAAAGAGAATGAAATATTTTTAGAACTGTCTATTTTATTTGCATCTCCTTCTCTAGCTTTTGTCCTGAAATTTCCCAGGAAATGGATGGGCTAGTGAGGTGGATAAGCATGATGTGCCTGAGACTTCACCTGCATTAAGAAACTATATGGTATAGAACATCTCCACCCTATTAATTGAGTAAACATGCCGACCGTTTTCTGCTGGTAGATTCTACCTGTGTTCACTCCATGTCAAGATATGTACAAATTATGATATCCAGGGACATGGACATATAATTCGGAAGGGGACCCACTCCTTAGTAATGTATCCTGATATAGTACCTCACCTCAGGTAGCCTTAGGAGCATGCTCAGGCACAGGCACTTTGCAGGAATGTTTTTGTAAGGATTCATACCTTTGGGTGAATCAGTGGTCCTGAAGGTTCCTTCCAACTTTTGGATTCCATGGTTGTGGTACTGGAATAAGAGTGAGAGATCAGAGCCTTGGCACTGGCTGCAGCCCCCGTGGTCCTAGAAAGCGGAAGAGGAACCAGGCTGGCACGGACAGAGGAGTGATGGGAAACGGGGGCTTGTGAGGGCCTTTGGGACCAGGATGTATTAACAGGAGTAGCGCTGTGTCTCATAGATGACTTTTGTCTCGCTTCATTTATGCACGTATCCATTCAGTGAGCTGAGACCGTC